CTTGCACTTGTCCTTGGAATACAACAGGTCAAATGCATTTGTGCTACTTTTGCAAGAGAAAACAACTGGATGAAGTGCTTGCGTCAGTCTCCACTGTATTGAAATTGTCCCTTCAAAAGCACAGTTGTCTCAAAGTCTCTGAAAACTGACGACAGAAGGGTCGTCACCCCCACCCACCCACACACACACACACAATGCCCTAAGCTAGATTTATTTATGCATCTGCCCACCATGTCTATTTTAACCCTTCTCTTTCTTCTGTGCTGAATGAAAAGGAGGATATTGTAGAGAATACTTTGCATTTCAGGTCATTTATTGAGTTGCTAGCCTGAGGATAACTTATCAATGCTGGACCGATAATGCAGGGCCATAGAGGGAACCAGTACATGAAAAGCACTCAGGAAAAAAGCAGCGATCACATTTCTTTACTATGCTATAGCTTAATATGCAGAGACATCTGTAATTAGGCCATTTACAAGCAGATTGGTAAATCTGTGGAGATTTCAATATAGGAGTTTGAGGTGGCTTTAAGCTTTAAGGGAGCCTTAAATATCTCCATCCATACCTACGTATTGTGCTCACGTAGGGAGAATTTGCTAAACAGAGAATCATTGTAACTTGACTCTAGAAGGTAACTCATTATCATGTGGGAAAGTTTGGTGTTTTCAGACTCTCAAGTGGGCACTGTAGCACTGACTCATGTTTTATCACTGAAGAGTTCACTAGTATACAGTCATGTTATTTTTCGTTGGATACACTGAACACAGGGGGCTTTTCTTTCATGAAAAAGAGATACTAAGAGATTTATTTTATACAGGCCTAAACTCTGCCCCCTAATGGCACAGCCTTCAATAGATTTCGAACTGATTTGGCCACGCCCACAGAATGTTGAATTGGAATTTAAATGACAGTGAAAACTTTACTGAAGTGCATTTCAAACAAATTGACACCCAAGCACACAACAGAATAATGTAATTATTTTTAAATAGCTTAAAATGTTTTGCAACATAAAGAAATGAATGAATAAATTACATTTTAAAAAATTTAATAATTAAGTTTTTCCAAAAAAACAGCATATGCTGGTTAGGTATGTTTTGACGCTGGGATGCTGGTTTAAGCTGGTCCAGCATAAACCAGCAAAGGACCAGCTTAAACCAGCAAAGGACCAGTTTAAACCAGCAAAGGACCAGCTTTAACCAGCATCCCAGCGTCAAAACATACCTAACCAGCATATGCTGGTTTTTTCAACAGG